TTTATGTGGTTATTTAAATTTCTTAATTGCTTCATGAGGAATCCTAATTAATCAATGAATGAAAACAAAAATAAAACTATACCCTCAAGTTGTCCACCCTTACTTTTTAGCACTTATATGGAGAAGGCACACTTTGCCTTTTTAAAGGAGAATTAGTTTCTGTATAACAAGATATTATGTAAGCATCATTTTCTAGTAATTAGTATTTGTACCTTTCTCCTTTTAATTATCTTGATAATAAGTTATGTGATTATATTTCCAAATGAGATAAAATAAGACAATTAAATTGAATAGATACTTAAGTAGCACTTGATGTTTGATAGGAATGGGTTTATTATGTGTATGACACTAAATTAAAAGTTCTGCTCACTTAGGATTATCAGTGCTATTATTTTATATATTTATATTGAATTAGAGAAGAATCATACAGTTGAGAATGGCTTACATGTCTGGTCCATGACACTAAATTCAGGAAATTAGGTTTATTGCATCCTTGAAACTTTTAAAATATATAATTACTGGGTCTTTGTACCAGGCTTCTAGAAAAACTGAGGATTCACTAGGGTAGTATTGCAGCTAATGTTTTGTTTATTAGTTTCTGAGTAGGACAGGATGGAGAGTAAGTGATGGCACGATGCAGTGATAGAGAGACTGGTGGGTAAAGAATCCGTTTGAGGGCTCCTCCATGTTTGAGTGTGAGGTCAATGAGGTTGATTTGTTGTTTTTTTGGATTTTTTTTTAAGATTGTTGTTGTTTTTAAGCTGATCATATTCCACTTTGCTTTAAAAAAACTTATGAGGGGGCTTCAAAAATTTTTAGAGAAATGGAATGAAAAAAAATGGAATTTCCCCCAAACTTTTGGAAGCACCTTCATATATCTGTTGTTTTTATTATTATACAAGTGATACATGATCACTATGGAACATTTAGAAAAGAGAACTAGTAAACGCACGAAAATGAAAGTTACCCTCGATATTGGCATCAGGAGATAAAATTAATATTAGCCTTTTGAGAGATTTTCTGCCATTCTTTTTTCAATACTCCTTCCTCATCCTGAAGTGGACTGACAAACGCATTAAAGAAATAACTTTAAATTTTATTCCATGACAGAAAAATGTTTAATAGGAGTAGTGTAGTGTAATAGTTAAAAATGATCACACTGCCTGGATTCAAATTTTGGGTCTTGGGAAATAGATAACCACTTTGAGCCTTATTTTCCATCTGCAAAGTGGGGCTACTGAAAGTAAAAATTCATAGAGTTTTGAAGATTCATTAAATTAGTACAGGTAGAGGTCTAAACAAAGGCATGTACATATGTAAACACATTTATATATGAGGATGGGGAAATAGATCTAGGTGCATGTATTTATAGGTTTAGTATTAAGGTAGCAGA